GATTTTTATATTTCAGCATTATTTTATTTTGTAATCTTAATTTAATCATTTATAATCATATATAAGGGGATGTTCTAATAATTTGAACCGATTTTAAAAATGAATTAAATTTCAGCGTCTAATGATTTTTTCTTTTTCTTTCAGATTTGATGGACATTTGGGTGATATTATTTTTCACAAATAATTGCCATGACTTAAATAACATGATCCAATGGAGAAATAAATAAATTTCCAACAATAACACTGATTTATTTCTGCTGACGTTGATCTGTCTCAATGAAACACCCTCACATATAATCCGTATATACCCTTTATTTAATTTGGAGCTTATCAGGGATTTAGTGTCTAACTTGGATGTCTAGATGCTAGCCTAATTCATTTTTGATATTTTAACAACATTATTACAGTTTGTTTCCTAATTTAATCATTTATAATCATATATATATATATATATATATATATATATATATATATATATATGGTTAATTCTGGGATCACAAGGGAATAATGTATTAAATTGGGGTGTTTAGTTGTTGCTCTAGTTCTAGTTACCCAACTATCTGGGTATAAGATTCAATTTTTTGAGAATTGGTTTTGGTAAAAAGTACCACATATATGGTAACAGATGAAGTATAGAGTGATTATTTAAAAGAATTGCACTACATTATCTATCTATCTCAGTCTATCTATCTATCTATCTCTCTATCTATCTATCTATCTATCTCAGTCTCTCTATCTATCTATCTATCTATCTATCTATCTATCTATCTATCTCAGTCTCTGTATTTATCTCTCTCTCTCTCTATCTCTCTCTATCTATCTATCTATCTATCTATCTATCTATCTATCTATCTATCTATCTCAGTCTCTGTATCTCTCTCTCTCTCTATCTCTCTCTCTCTCTCTATCTATCTATCTCAGTCTGTATGTACGTATGTATGTATGTATGTATCTATCTATCTGTTAAACATTTGACATTTTTTTCTAAATTTAAGTTATTGTGATATAATTACACAAATGTGGAGCATTCAGTAAGGATTGAGATGAGCCTTGTTAAAGACTTTTCCATGGTGAAGAATTTTTGCTATTTTTTAAACTTTGACATAATTTCACAAGTATGGAATATTTAGTGGGTATAAACTCATTACAACAATAATGGTCAGATTAAACTGGGCCCAGTTCAGAATAGTAAATTTAATTTTCCCCCAAACTGGCTTCCACTGAAAATGTTATATCGAATCTTCACTTCCTTGAATAGTTCACTTCATCGAAAAAAAAAAAAACAATTAAAGGGATTTAACTTTTATATTTGAATTCTGCTTTTTTTTTTTTTATAAAATAAAACAATAAAAAAATTAAATATAATGACTAAAATATAAATATTAAAAAAATAAATAATATAAATTAATACAGAAAGCAATTAATCTTAGCAATTAATTTATTCATGCATATATTTTGGATAGGAAAATATTTAAATGAGTTTATTTTTTATCATTTTCTTTTTTTTACTTGAAATTTAAATATTCATAGAATAAAACTCAAATATTAAGCAACATTATTAAATGAATGAAAATTTCAGTGATGAATTTTTTGTTCATCATTTCACTCTAAGCAAGGTGACAATGCTACTAGAATGCAGGGTATTACAGGGACTGAAAATGAATGAGAATGAGAAGATTGAAAATGGAGGAGGAGGAGGATTGTGGAAAGGGCAGATAACTTCAAAGATGGCCGTTGTTTGTCACCGGTAGACCTAGCAAAATGGAAGTAATATTGTTTGTCCGAAAGAAGGTTGTGAGTAGTAAGATGCTTAACCAGTTCAGCACTGATTAGGGCCTCAAATATTTTGCTGAAAAGAGGTGAGAAACTAATAGTGCAATAATTTGAGGGGTCAAAGGTTTCCCTAGTTTTCTTAAAAACAGGAACTATGGAGAAGGACTTCCAACAACTGGAAAACAGGAAGTAGCGAGGCATTTGCTGTAAAGTCTGGAGAGAACAGGAGCCAGCTCAGGAGCACATTTCTTTAGGATGATGGCAGGGATCCTGTCACATCCACTTACCTTGTGAGGGTCTAATTTAGAGATGATGCCAGAAACCAGTGATGGGGTTAGGCATATGTATATCTTTGTTGTTGTTATCACTGGCCAGAGGGCACAATGTCCGAAACTGTTGTGATAACATTAACAACAAAGGTGAGGACAATAGTCCAAATATAAATAGTGTAAATAAAAGTAATCTCTCTTTAATTTTCTACATTTTGATTTTGTGGTGAAGTGAACCATTTAACAAAGTGAAGATTTGCTTTTGGTGAAGCCATTTTGGGGGCAAAGGAAATTTGCTGTTATGACTGGCTCCTGATTAGACCAACTTACTAATCAATACTAGATAGTCATGGCCCAAATTTTTTCTACAGAGGAGGCCTAGAAATGAAGCCCAAAATTTGTTTGGTGTACCTTTTTTCAACAAATTCCTAAAGATTATTGATTTCTTTATCAGGGTTTGCAATAAAATGATGAACTGCTTATTTCTTTATTTTCTGTTATTTGCCATGACTTCTTGAGAAAGTGGATTATTTTTCCCATTGCTTTCAGAGTTTTTTCCAGACTGGTTACCATCCAAGGCTTGAGAGCCCAGTCAACTCTGTTATTTAAGCAGATTGTAAATTCTATATACTGATGTTGACAACAAGCTACAGTAGGACTGAAATAGTAATATTTATCAAGGTAACTGTTTGTTAAAGATTTTAACTAAACTAAAATCAAATGAAAAAATCACGAGAAAACATGTGAGATAAATTTGAATTGCTTAATACAAATCTTATTGTTATTTTGCAGTATGAAGAATTCCTTGCTATGCTTTCTACCTTTTTTCTCTTTCTCTGGTTAGTAAGCTATAGTTTTATGTTATATATATGTGTTTTATATTTTTGTTATATGTTATATATATGTGTTTTATGTTGTGTGTTAAATTGTGTTATATGTTATAATTTATATATGTTATGTGTTATATGTTATGTTTTTGTTTTATGTTATATATATGTTTTTTGTATGTTATGTGTTATATATGTTATGTTTTATGTTATATGTTATGTATTATATGTTATGTTTTATGTTATATGTCATATTATATAGTAAGCTATGGTTAAATATTATATGTTATGTTTTTGTAATGTGTTATATATGCTTTATATTATACATGATATGTTATGTGTTATGCATTGTATGCTTTATGTGTTATATTGTTAGTAAACTATAGTTATATGATTCAATTACAATTTAACTTTTATTCATAGTAGAGGGAGGCATTTGCCAAGCATTTGACTACATTATTAATACTTGATATGGTTTATTTGACTAAGAAAATAAAAACTGTAAAACCAAGTCCAACTTCTGATACCACTTGCATGTTAATGCTGCTTCAAAAGGCACAAATCTAATCCTCCCTGTACCAGGTATCTTGATCATAGTCTTGTCAATGGCTTACTGTACGATACAAAGGAGAAAACAAAAGTGATACAATGAAACACAGAAACCTTAATTCTGAAATGATGAAAAAATATGTAGCACCCAATCACTTGATACTGCAATGTTAGTTTGGTTGGATTTTCAAACATTAAAAAAAAAAACAGAAAAAGAAAACTTCATCCCAAACAGACCATAAATTCAATAACTGTACATAAATATTCGATTGATGTAGACTCTAACAACAGCAACAACAATAAAAACAATAACCCTTGACCAACGTCCACTGTTATTGTCAGATGACCAAAGAAATTAGACAGAGAAGAGAGTAAATTAAACAAATATTTGCATAAAATATGGTCAGTACATTCAAAAGATGTTGCCTAGGAAAAAACAAGACAAGAAAAAACCTGACTGCAAAAATCAAAGTTTTGGGGGCCAACAAGATTTTATTTTAAAGGTAGAAATTTGCTCCCTTTTTCTTAGACTAATGTTGATGAACTTGTAGTTACAATTTCGTTGTATTATAGGTTTTTCATTTAACTGCTAATATCCGTATATTTTTACGATATTATTTTTACCAATCTACTTACTTATATAAGATATGTGTCACACTCCAAAAGAAGAATATATGAATGCTTCATTTGCTTTCAATGATCAAAGAGTGAAAGGATTAATACAACTCAAGACAGTAATATGGTCTCTGTCTTTCTTCTCTACCCCTTCCTCCTTTCCTTTCCTGTCTTTCTTCTCTGCCCCTTCCTCCTTTCCCATTTCTCTGTCTTTCTTCTCTGCCCCTTCCTCCTTTCCCATTTCTCTGTCTTTCTTCTCTGCCCCTTCCTCCTTTCCCATTTCTCTGTCTTTTTTCTCTGCCCCTTCCTCCTTTCCCATTTCTCTGTCTTTCTTTTCTACCCTTTCCTTCTTTCCTTTCCTCTGTCTTTCTTCTCATTTTTCTCTAGCTGTTTTTATTTACTTTCTACCTTTTTTCTCTTTCTCTGGTACATTTTCCATTCACTGGCTTTTCTTTTCCTTTCCTCCACCTTTATTAATTACCCTCAACCTCTCCTATCTTTCATTTCAATCCACCTTTTCCTTTCACTTGCTTTTCTTTTTCTTTTACTCTAGTTTTTTTGCTTAAACTCTTTCCTATTTCACATTTTCTTTTCCCTTTTTTCTTCTCTCTTTTTTTCTCAATTCTGTTCTTGTGTGGAAATGAATAGATAAGCAGTTGGTGCATGTGTGTGTGTGTGTGTAATACTTTTTTGATACAACACTGATCCTAAAGAGAAGTACTGCTCCACATCTAAAAGTAATTTTTGTACTTTGAAAATATTGCTATTGGATATTCTACTTACACAATTTATAGTAATAAATTGTGTAAGTAGCAAATTAGGTTGATTTCATGACAAAGATGCATATATATATATATATATATATATATATATATATATATATATATATAAAAAGAAAATGGGTAAATGATTTTCGGTTTTATAAATGAGTAAAAACATCTTCCAGTTAAGAAAAACCATATATAAATCAGAGACAGGGATAGATAGAGAGAGAGCTAGATAGATTGATCTGAACAGAGATAGGTAGATAAATAGATAAATCAATCTGAATAGAGACAGTGATAGATAGATAGATCTGAATACAGGGATAGATAGATAGATAAATTGATATAAATAGAGACAGACACATATATAGATAGATAGATAGATAAATCGGTCTAAATAGAGATAGATAGATAGATAGATAGATAGATAAATCGGTCTAAATAGAGATAGATAGATAGACAGATAAATCGGTTTAAATAGAGACAGATAGATAAATCGGTCTAAATAGAGACATATAGATAGATAAATCGATCTAAATAGAGACATATAGATAGATAAATCGATATAAATAGAGACAGATAGATAGATAAATCGGTCTAAATAGAGATAGATAGATAAATCGATCTAAATAGAGATAGATAGATAGATAAATCGATCTAAATAGAGACAGATAGATAGATAAATCGATCTAAATAGATAGATAGATAAATCGATCTAAATAGAGGCAGACAGACAGATAGATAAATTGACCTGAATAGGGACAGGAATGAATAGATAGATAGATTGCTCTGAATAGTGATAGGGATAAATAGATAGACAGATATGTACAGAGACAGACAGATTGATAGATAGATATAAGCAGATTAAGATAGGTGGGTCAAGAGATATAAACAGATCAAGATAGATAAATAAGAATAGACTGAGATAGAGAGATAGATTCTTCAAAGTCTATCTGCACTTTAATCAACTGTACCTGTAATTATTGTATTAATGCATAAAATTAACTCACTCACAAAAAGATTTAAGTTACAATAAATATCAATTAATATCAATCTCATCATTGTATACCAATTGACTTCAGTTGCAATTTGCATATTAATTGATGTTTGCAACTCAGTCTCTTGATAATGCATTGTTATAGAAAGAACAGAATTATGAATTAACATTTTCAATATGTTTTTTTCTTTTCTTTTTATTATGAAAATGTTTAATTTTAAGGTAATATTAAAAAAAATGTATATAAATTTTTGAGACAAACCCTATTACACACACAGACACAGATACACACGTACACACACACACACATAATTAAGATCTAAAATTTGGGGAATGTGCACATGAACCATATGTAATTTGTAGATTTGTATGGATTTTTGAGAAAATCACTGGGATTAGTGAATATATGCCCAAGATACTAATTCAAAGGTAACAGTAGAAAGTAGAAGTCATTCATTTTTGAAAAATTCCCTGAAATGTTGAATAGCAACTCTCTCTCTCTCTCTCTTACACGCACACACACATATATCTTAGGCATTAAAATATTTTTATAACTATGAAAATATTAATTATTTATTCTAGGTTTGAGTTTTAGGTTTGAATCCCAATTAGCTTTTTCAATAACTTTTTTCTGAGACAATGAAAATAAAAGTAAGAGAATCAATCTGGTAATAAAAGAAAAGCATGTGTCATCAGGCTATCATTAGGCCTGTAATATATTATAATTTGCCTTCCCATGAGAGCAAATAGGACAGAAAGTTAGGTTTAACGAGGGCTTCCATATGTGCATTTGTGGGCAGAGACAAAAATTTCTCTGTCTCCATGGCTTGACCCAGATACATCAGTTTCATGCCCTTTTGTTGTCTAGACATGAAAACAAGGCTGATCATGGCTGGGAAGTGCCAGAAATGCTGTTAAAGTACAAAAGTTAATAGTGATTTTCTAAGTGCAATTTGCATGTGGCATAAGACTGAAAATATGGGGCACCCATTGAAGATTGATCCCACTACTCAGTCATAATTTTTCTAGTGAGACAACCTTGCTAACCATTACACCATGTCAAGGTGCCCAAATTACCAAAGTTAATGATTAAATTACACTTCACAAGACAATATGGCGCATGTCTACATATTTTGCGTTTAGTCTCAGGATTATCTCCCTTGTTACGTTATTTACACTTTTTTCATATTTGAAGATATAAATCAGAAATCTGTTATAAACTAGAAAGATATTTAATTTTTATTCTTTCTAGATGTCTAAGAAATTCCACTTATTTCTATATTACAATGCTAATGTTGAAAATATACATCTTTAAAATGAAATTTTGTGAGCAGTTTGTGATTTGAGAAACAGTTTAGAGTGATGTACTGAATTTTGAAAGTGAATATTTACAAAACATATTCAAGGAAGTGAAATACGAGGTTTTGTGGCAATTAGTAATACAGGTTTAGATGAATACATGTAAAGGTAATATGGAGTTTGTTAGGCTCTCTTAAAGGGTTCATGAAAGCTTTTGGTCAAGAAACAAAATTGGGGTAGCTTCTTTTTTTAATTTTGTTAGGTGGGGGCGAGGAGGCGGACCGCCCCGGGTGCCAGCACAGGAGGGGTGACACAATGTCACCCCCAACAAAATTTTTTTAACCAGGCTAAGGTGCCAACAATAGTCTGAAAACAGTGGTGGAGACACAGGGTTTTGCAGTTGGGCATATGACACCCCAGAAATAATTTATGACCCCCCCCAGTTTTGTCTCCCATCAGAAATTTTCTAATAAATTGTCGGGAAATTTGTGAGTAGGAAAAATAGTAATGTTTTCAGTTTTCATGTGTTTCAGTTGCTACAATCTTGGTTACTAACAAGAGACATTGTTGTAACATTTTATCGGATGATATGGTGTTTTAACTCTGCATCATTAATAATAACAACAAAGCGAAATACGAAGCCAAAAGTGCAACAATTTCAGTCTTGCCTGTGTATCAATTCGCTGAGATACAATTTTCAATTGAGTGAGCGATATACTTTTGAATATATCTACTAGTGTTGGGACGATTAATCGGAATCAGAATCGAGAATCGGAAAAATCAGAACTTTTTGGGGTATCAGAAATGGTATTGGAATCGGAAAAATTTGTGCCTATTTTCCGATTCCAAAAACGATTCTTTTAAATTTTTAACTTAATTTTCCATTATTGGTACTAATGATAAATATTCATTGTTTTTAAATTATCACTAAAACTAAAATCATAATAAAACATCAAAATACAATGTAAAATTATTTTACTTGTATAAATAAAAAACAAAAAAATAAACTTTACATAAATTCTCTAGGTAACCTTTAAAAGAATGCAGTTGATTTACAATGTTCTGAAAAATGCTTAAAAATTAAATAGAACATTTTTGTCAAGAAAAATACTTTCAAACATCATTGATAATTAAATGGTACCTAGAAAATGATGCAACGGAAAATTGGACACCGGAAAATTAGCAACAGAAAAATACGTCAACCATGAGCCAGTCGAGACTGTTGGATCTGGCAGTGCTGTCCATTGAAAATGAGCTTACAAGACAAACAGTTGTATTTTAAAAATCTTTTGATTTGAACTGATTATTTTGACCATAGTATTGAATGTCATTTTTGGTATTGGTGTTTTTTGTCTTGGATCATTTTAAAAATGATTTGAAACAGTATTTTGTCTTGGTCATACATGTAAACAGTAAGAGTAAAGTAGAGGTAGAGCATGTATGTAAAAAAAATTTAGCTACAGCTAACCATTCAGCATAGGGTGAATCGGGGTCATTGGGGTGACATTTGAGCGGATGGCGTTTACTCTAGCTACGCCATTTTTATTATAAACAGAGCATTTACTTAAATATTTGTATCTATAAAAAGAACATATAAACAAAAAATATCTTAAAATATACATACATATATATATATATATATATATATATATATATATATAATAGCTGGTCACTTGTATTCAAAGATACCCGTCTACTAGAGTGGCTAGGTAATCCCTAATTCAGATGCTCGCTTAGGCACATTTGCATATGTTCAACACCCACAGAGCCCACCTGTTGTTTATACTGCAACTATGCTGAGCAGACCTTAGTTACAGTTTCTGGGAGAGAGTGTGTTATCTAGCATGATCAACAATCGGAACAAGGCCAGCAAACTCTAATCCTCGGTTACACTGACTTGTGACTGTGTGCTAGCATGGCTATTGATAGTCGGCCAAATGTTCCATCTATCCAATTTCACTCACAAGGCTTGGGTCAATATATATATATATATATATATATATATATATAAGTGTTAAAAAAATTTTTGTCATTGAAAAAAAAAACAGGCACCCCAACCCTACCTTAACTTAACCTCATTTTGAAAGTAACTCATATTTTGATAGAATTGTTGTCAGTGAAATTGAATACCCTACCTCCCCTTGTCAAAATGATTGAATTTCCCCATATCCTTAGAAACTAATATTATGAATGTATGTGCTTATAAAACTCAGTAAATTTCAAAATAAGTTATTCCAAAATTCACTTGAAAATGAAGCAGTACTAGGGATTTTAATTTAATTCTATAATTAAATTTGAAGTTTTTAGTTTCTGTTTTTGAAACATGGTAATTCCTGTGTAGCAATGAAACCATGTTTTTAAATAAGTAAATTTATAATATTCATGCTCTGCAGAATTGTATTGAGCCCTTTTTTTAAAAATAAAAATAATTAATAAGAATACCGGATTATAAATCTTACTGTTTTTGATTTTTTTTTATATATATATATATATATATATATATATATATATATATATATATATATATATATATATATATATATATATATATATATATATATATATATATATATATATATATATATATATATATATATATATATATATATATATATATATATATATATATATATATATATATATATATATATATATATATATATATATATATATATATAATATATATATATATATATATATATATATATATATATATATATATATATATATATATATATATATATATATATATAACTAATGTAAATCTTTGAAATACTTTTTGACTCTTCTCTTATAGCTTAACCCAAAAAAGACAATATTGAAACCATTCTTAATAATAAGCATCATAGTAGTGATAGTAATTTGTACATATTGTAACTAACATAGCTGACAACTGATGAATCATAGGAACTTTATCGGACTATGGATTCTATTTATTATGGAAAAAAAATGTAAGCCTCCTAAAACAAAAGAGTCTGGCTTTTTTAGTGTCATTTTAGTGTTCTGCTGTGTGTAAACATTTTTGATTCTAAGATCTAGAACCATTAGTAATAAAAAAGAAGAAAACTACCACTTGAATTATATATCTGTCAAAGGATAAAGAAAACACCAATCAAAACACAGTGACAAAAACACTGAGGCTGAGAATACTTGTAAAATAACAATAATCCATCTCAGAATTTCTGATAGTATTTAAAAGTTGACAATATTAGAGTGATAATTAATTAACTTTTTGTTGGGGCGCACCCACCTTCTCATCAGAATGGACTGATCTCTCTACTACTAATAGGACAGTTCTATAGAGTTCTGGGAGATCAGGTGACCATCACACTTCCGTCTCTCTACCGGAAGATACAGTTGAACTTTATAATCTTTCTGATTGTTACTGACTAACCTGCGTTCGTTTGACTACTAATCTCTCTGTTGTAAATACCTCTTCAGATATACCAGTATTTTTCCCTATGTATGTGTTTGTCCTTATTTCAATACATGCATGGGGAACACTCAACATCTCAACACTTTTTAAAATGAGGACGTTGAGAGTTTGAATTTATTATGACTTAAATGTGGAAATAGAGAACAAAAGAGAACCAAATATAGAATATTTATTCAAAGTGCCTTTGTTGTAACTCAGTAACATAACCAATTTTAATTTGTTGTTAATATTAATAGTAAAAATAAAGTTAAACAGACAGAATGCAAAAACAATAGAACTGGCAACTCAAATTCTATGAGACAAACAACTTCTATGTAAGTATTCCCAGGAGAGGAATGAACCCAAACTTCTGAACACCCTATTTGACTACAAGTCATCTAAATATAATCTAGTCACCAGTATGGTACTGTGAGATAAAAAAAAAGTGGGAATCTGTTATACCTGACGTACCTATTCTATTATTAATAGACTCTCCCACACATAATAATTAGTAGTAGCGGTCGCCAGTTTGGCTCAGTGGTGTTGAGCGAGTCAGTCGATGTCGGACATTGAAGTATCAACCATCACAACTAGATTTGCTGCGTCATTAACTCTTATTTCAAGTTCCTAACGTTTTGTACGTAGAACCTAATTTAGGACGACATTGAAATACAAGCCTCCACTGTGAAAACTACTCTACAACAGAATCTGATCCAGTCAAGAACTTCTGATTATCCATTCTATGAGCAAAGAACATTTGGTTGAAATCAAAGATCAGACTGTTGCATGCATTGGCCTTAGTCTTTCTGTATGCATGTGAATCTTGGACATTAACTGCAGAACTACAGCAAAGAATTCAAGCATAAGAAATGAGATAATGAAGAACCATCCTATGCATCTCATAGGTAGACTGCATCACAAACGACACAATACCAGGCAGCATCAGATAAGAAAGAGGCCTATTGGAAGACCTCATAACCACCATCGAGAAGAGGAAGTTGAAATGGTATTGACACTTCACACATATTCAATGGCTTTAAGGTCATTAAATATGTCTGAAAGACTGACTAATGGGAATTTGAAATAATTTTGACAGTTTTTCTCATAGCTTAGTTCAAGAAGAAAATATTGAAATTGTTCTCAATAATAACAAAAATTATAGTAATGGTAGTAAATTGTACATGTTGTAGCTAATGTAGCTGACCACTGATGAATCATGGGAACTTTATCAGGACCTGGATTCGGCTTATTATGGAATAACAAAAAAAAAAAAAAGAAGCAAATCTCCCAAAACAGAGATTTGTTTTTCGAGTGATTTTAGAATACTGTTGTCTGAAAATATCTTTGATTCCATTAAAGATGAAGAGACAGACAGAGGGAGAAAAAAATGGCCTAAAATTTCACTGAGTGGACTGGAAGATCATTGACAGAAACTCAGACATTGGCACGCAACTGAGACATATGGAGGGAGCTGATCAGCTACGACCACACCCAATCATGGGACTGATTATTATTATTATTATTATTATTATGATGATGATGAACAAACAATTCTCTATTTACTTTGTTAGAAGAGATTTAAATAGACGATTATAATAGTTGTGGTGTTTTTGATATAGTTATTTTTGTTGTTATTACCATCATCATTACAAAGCTTCTTGTTGAGCACAGGGGGTCAAATACAAATGCTGAACACAAGGATTTACTGTAGTACTTGTATACTGATGTCATCTGAAATCTTTTCCTGTTGGTGTCAAAGTTGTTTATATACAAATGATTTGCCCCAAATGTTAAATGCAGGATGAAACTTATCTATCAATGAAAACAGTCACACACACATGCTCATATACACATTCTGCTGTTCTTGTAAAGCATTCAAAATGATGGTTTTTTTTTAGCAATGATTTGCCACTGACTATGGTTATAATGGTTAGTGATACATGAAATTTCCTGAGAATGCTGTTTTTTCATTAGCCTCAGTGATGTGTGGGCAAAAACATGTCAATCCCAGGGAGCATTAATGTATGTAATGATGAGTTTGTTTTTCTTTTTTTTTTTAAAAAAAAAAAGGAAAGTGAAGAAATGATTTAGGATGAAATTGGGGCAAAAAAAAAAAAGATGAGTAATTTATGTTTTAATGTCCAGTTCCATTGACAAAGGAACTCTGTCCAACCAATTGAAGGTTCTGGACATGAGTGTACATTTTTAGTGCAGGACCTAGCTTGAGAGAGAGTCCAGTCAGAACATCACTTCTTTTCATTAGCAATAAAGATTTGCCATCAATCTCCTGAAAAAGAAAAAAATAAATATCATAGAATGAACTGATTATTAAAACTGATTATATTTTATTTATTACATTCATATACTCGCAATAATTGCAGCCTTGTCTACACTCCATTACACACTTGTACACACATATTCAAACACATATACGAACATATATACATGTACACACCCAATGACTTCATAGAGAAACTGACCTGTTCTCGAAATGCCTCAGCTTGAGAAACAAAACCTGCTGACTTGAAAAAATTGACGACATCATCAATTGTCCAGTTGGCAGCATCAGGATAAGGACCTTGAAAATCTCGCAGCATTGGCAGACTGATTGACTCATCCTCTCTTCCACTGAAAAGAAAATAAGAGTCAGTTGAAACAAAATTATACCACATGAAGATAAAGTTAGCCATTACAAAACTTTTAAGAGTTATCTCCCTTTGTTCATCATGGCACACTTGCATGTATTTAATAAACAGTCATAAATAAACGAGAAAGTCCAGTATTTGTTAATAACAAACAAAAGAATGTTTCACTGCTATTTTATGAGATGAATTGTTTAAGATAAATATTTTTTAATTCAATTCTTAGGGGAAAATATCAAATATTATCTAAGGTTCCCCCCCCCAGCGATTGACCTCATTTAAAATGTGAATATCTGAGTAACTTCATGTCCCAGGCAAATGAAATTAAATAGGCTTCATGTTGAATAAGAAAAGATCTATTTATGAAAATTTGAACAAGATATTCAAAGGGATGTAGATTTTATAAGTGATTTCACAAAACTTCACAAATTTTCAATATGCGCATCAACCGTGACCCGACACACGTCAAATCGGTAGTTCAGCTTTTTTTTTCTTCTTTTTTTTTTAAGCATTTCACACCAAGCAAGGCGGGAAGCCACTAGCATGCAAGGGGTTACAGAGGATTTGGAGCGAGGTCAGATAGGAATGATAGAGGAGAGGATGAGGAGATTCTCATTGGGATAAGTCTGCACAGTCAATTTAGTTTTTACACATTTTGTTAAAATTTGGAATAATTTGAATGAGAACTAGTTATGTTATTAGACTACAAGATTATATCAATTTTTTTTGCGGGGGTGGGGGGGATACCTTGTAGATTAAGTTAACTTATTGTGAGTAGATAAAAGGGTGGATCAATAAGTCCATAGCCTGTCACGTAAATTTTAGCTGAATTTTGATCTGAAATTGTCAGTGTATAATGTTTGATCTGCGTAATTAATATTCACCACTGAATCAAGTGCATTGACAAGGAAGGAGATTATGTTGAAAAATATTAAGTAAAATAACTGCTCTCATTATTAACTGCTGTACTTAATCCTCTCTGTATGACTTAAATTTGGCTAAGATTCCAATGGAATGGTAAACATGCTAGACCAGTGGTTTCCTAATTGGGTGATGGAAAGATCCAGGAGTAAGGGAAAGGGTGAGAGAAAGAGTGGGCAGGCCGAGGGTGACAGTGGCATATCTGAAGCATAACATAAACAAATATATTTTGCCTTCACTTCCATTTGTATAACACTCTTATTATGGTGTGGGAAAATGAAATAAAATAGCAATAATGAATAAAAAAGAAAAAGAAATACATCTTTCCACATTAATAAAGGAATTGAAAATTTTATTACCCCAGTTGGTTTCACCAAACGCCCATTAGGTGGCGCTGTTTAAGTCGATAAAAAGACAAACATTTCTTTCCTCTCTCTTCTTTCTCCCTCTTGCTCCTAGGTACATGACATGAAATAAATGATATCCCTGCTGGAAAACGTTACCTTTCCCCAGTTGACTGACCAATAAACTAAGTATAACTTGTAGCATGGTCATTCCAACTCAATTCAAGGCTGATTTGAGCTCGACCAGTACAACTATCATAACTTACTTCTGGACCCCCCACCAAAAAAAAAACATAAGTTCCAAAAAGGACCAGAAAAAGAAACTCTTTTCCACTTTCCAATGCATAGTGTTTGCGTGTGTTTTGCTGAAACTCCACCAATGAAATAAGACAGGTTTTACTTTGGTCGTTCCAGCTCAGTGCAAGGCTTACTTAAGCTCAACCATCATGACAACTAATGATGAAGTAATTTCCTTTGGTTGTTCCAACTCCATGCAAGGCTCGACCATTATAAAGATGCTTATGCTTACTTACCCTAACTTCTGAACCAAAAAAGGAAAACGGATATACCCAAGAAAAATTGAGAACTTTGTTTCACTACAGTTTATATAAAAGAGGCAAATAAATGGTCTGTAGTAGAATCCCCCAAGTTTTTGTATGCTTTAATCGTTTACATGTGAACATGTACACATATAAACTACATCAACACACAGCCTATAAATTCCATAGAGAAAAATACTAAGATACACTTTGACATGCATTACTAGCACCAAGAAAATCCAATCAAAGGTTGACTATATATTTGAAGGATGGGCGTTAGGGTTGCATTTTGGTATGTAAGGGGGTGCCGACTCCCAAAAGTTTAGACGTTACTATTAGACAATTTGTAAGGCTTTTATTTTGATATGTCTTGTTGATCAAAAAGCATTATTAGCAAAAAATAAATAAAAGCAATCAAATTTAAACATAATTTAAAAAAAATACAATTGAAGTAAAAAATCAATTATTACTGCAAATCATGCTTGGTTTTGCTAGTGTAGATTTGGCTGAAATAAAATCTGTTTTTTTCTGATGATTCTATTTGTTTGATTGGAAAAACATAAAATAGCATTTATTTTTATTTTTTCTTAACTCATTGTATCTTAGTGGCTTTATTGCCTTGCTTGCAGTGAAATAATTAAAGAAAGAATAACGTCCGTCACTCATCTTTATTTTTAAAGTCCAGCTTTCAGCACCAAACAGTAGCATGCCTTCCTCTGTGGTTTGAAAGAAATCTATTTTCAGATGGTTTTGGATAGTTGACTTCTATACCCTTTTCCGACAGATTGAGGGAAAGAGGGAGAGAGAAAAGCAGTGCGTAACATACTTGATGAGCTTGACTATATGGAGAGTAGAACAGGGTTTGGAAGAAATAACAAAAAGACAAAACTTATTAAAAGCTACAAGAGACAGGAAGATGTGGAGGGCCATGAACCCCTATGTCCTAAAAGGACATGGCACATAAAAGAAGATATTCTTTCCATTTTGTTCAGAGTGCCTGAGGCTTGCTCAATTCTGATCTGCATGTTGTTTTTTTTCACTAGACTGACTGCAAGCAACAAGGGGCCTGAAGGTCTTTATGTGCCTCAGTTTATTTCTTTCTAACCTGTTAATTTCACCTTCTGGTTGATTGTATAACATATACACAGTTTTCTTGAAACTTACTACCACTTCTGCTGCAACGTTCAGTTAGAGAATAGATACTCATTTAGAATTAAACTTTTTAGACCTTAAGAGCATTTTGTGTTAATCAGAGCCATTTTTTTAGCAAAGCCACTAATATGCAGAGAGTTACTGAGTGTGAAGGAAAAACATTATTTTTGAGAGACGGCAATAAAAGAACAGAAATTAAGAAGACAGAAGATAATGATTGATGTTGCATTTAAATTTTATTTGTTTGTTATGAAAACACTTCAACGAGTGCACAGGATCACCTTGTCAGTGATGTTATGACTTGGGGTCATGACAAGTTTCGGTCTTCCAACATCATACTTGTTCACCCAAGGGACCCTATCAAAACAGTACTTATTCTGATAGGCAATCCTGAAACAAAAATTCTCCAAGCACAAAACAAATGGACACATTAAGTAACTGCCACTGCTGATTTTGAAATCACAAGCGACCAATCAGTAATGACCTACAACACTTCCTCCTCAGCCAAGACGATACAAAAAGAGAATAGTCAGCATGTTCATCTTTTTCCCATCTTAGATCCAACACGCGGAAAGACCCACATTCTTAATGAACAGTTCGACATAACAGGTAAGTAATGGACAAAAAAGTTTCCTTTCCTATGAAACGATGCTTAAAACAAAAACAATATTCAAGCGCATTCGTTGGTCATAAGAATTATGATAAGAAACATTTCTTGCTTTGTTTTCCAATCACCATCCATTTTTTTTTTCATTTCTTTCCTTTTCCCTTTACATTTCTCCTCTCTCGAACAAAACAAAAAACTACTAGGAACACCAAGATGACGTTGAAAAGATCAAAAAAAAAAAAAAGGAAAAGGACCCTCCCCTCAAACAATGACTTTGGTCATCTCTCTACATTTCCCTTTTTCTTTCAAAGTTGACTGGAAAGCCAGAAGCCAGAAGAGAGAGTTCCACAATTGAGAAGTGCAAGGGAACTTATGGTTACATTTAACTATTTCAGCTGTAAAATTATGAGGCCTTGTCATTAACCTTGCACTGCATTTAAATTTGTAAAGTGAAGGATCAAAGAGGAAAGTTCATCAAACAAATTAAATATTTATAGAAACAACAGATGGATACTACATTACAGTAGTTAGAAAGTGACTGAAGCCATGATGCCATGTCAAGACTAATAACATTGTTGATTCTTCTTTGTTTTTATCCAGAATCTCAAAATGCATTGCAGTAAGTATATGCATTGCATATAAGTTTTTTTTTTTTTTTTTGTTTTTTTTTAAGCGTTTCACCCCAAGCAAGGCGGGAAGACACTAGGACACAAGGGGTTACAGAAGACTTGGAGCAAGATCAGATAGGAGTGATAGAGGAAAGGAAGAGGAGAAAGATAGTGGATAGATCAAGGCAACTGGAGATACTAAACATTCATTGCTATTCAATCAAAAAATTAAAGCATATGAAAATAATTGTTGCTTTTTGAATAGTAAGTAAATTTGAGATTGATTTTCAACATTATAATAGAATTATAGACAAAACTTACATTTCTTTTTCCTCTGGGTCAGGTTGAACTGGAGAATCACAGGGTGTTGGGAGACATGATGGACCTGAAGCCTCCATTGGCTCAAGACAAATACCTGAAAAAGAGGAAATAAAAAAATTGTAGTATTACTAATAAATATAAAAAGCATGTAGAATCTGAATGATATATAATTTGCTGTCTCTCTGAATTATCATTATTTATACTATCTATATTTGGACTATTGTCCTCATCGGCTCCTATATTGTATTCATTTCTATGCTAAGCAGATCCTTGATACCCTAACATATGCATTGATTTTTTTCAGATGTGCACCTCTCTAGTGTTCTTGTCTAGTATTTTCACTTCATTCCATAGCTGCTGATGACTACCCCTTTCCCTCCATACATGATCAGCTATGCTCGATTTTATTGTCTCACCCTTCACTATAGCTTTTTGATGTCCTTCCAGACTTACTTTCAACAGGTGACTTGTTTCACCTTTATATTCTTTGCCACAACTGCAGGGAATCAAGTATGCACAATTCTTGGTAATGTTCTTCACTGTGTTACTTTTTATTTGGCAGTAAAAGTGGAAGTGCTTCTGAATATTGTCTTCTGAATTATTTTCCGATAAGCCCTTGATGTAAATTTGACAGACCATGGAAATTTTCGGATCTTCCTCCTTGTCCTTTCTGTTCTCACCTGTAGATGCTGATGTTATGTTTACTATAACTGAGAAGTACTATAAATAAGAACTAGATGGTATCCCTAGACATAGGCAGTGGAATGAGAACAGTCTATCTCACAGATTAAATAAAGGGTCTACAACAGAATTCCATGTAGATTATCCAAATCAGTATACACATGAGTAATACCAGAAGGCACAATAATTGAAACTTTGTGATAACAACAACAGAGATTAGAACAATAGTCTGATTATAAATAGTATAAATAATTTGCTCTGTTGAGAAATTTAAATGAAATGGGAATTGAAGCTTTTGTATTATCCATTTTTTTTTACCAAAAAATACATTGATCATATCTTGAATTTTTTTTGTTAATCAATTCACCCCAAGAACGGCAATAAAACCATTAACATTCAAAGGGCTACCGGGAGTGAAAGAGAAGGAGAAAACTTTAGAAGGAACTAAAACCCCAATCCTAAACATGATAAACCTCTCATCATCATCTTCAGTCCCTTGACTGTTTCAACTAGTGGTGGGACCTATGGGCAGAGGAAACAGACTACCTCCTCCAGGATGATCTGTAGGTGGTGGTTCTCTGGAGTTCTGGCATTGTCATATCCATTTGATGTTGTCTGACCAGCTCTTGTGTTGCTGTCTCTGTTTGCATCCGCCTTCAACATTGCCTTGAATGATGATCTTGCAGAGGCTGTTATGCTGTGTGCCATGGCCAAACCATGCCATCTTCTGATGCTTAATAGTGGTGAGAAGGAATTCCTGTCAGCCCACAAGACTTTTGACCTTGCCCCATACATAGTCATTGGTTTTGTGCTCCCAGTAGAAGATGCGGAGGAGATTTCTCAAGAATTTATTCTTGAATAAGAATCCATTTTAAAATCAAGCTGATGCATTCAAGGAGTTTCCTGGCCATAGTAATTCTGATCTGAGGGTGGGGACAGGGTATAGACAACATCAGTAAATATAACCAAAAGTATATTAAAGTCAGTAATGCATACTTTGATTTAGTTATACTTTACAATTGCTATTTATAATATTTACATGCTGACAATTGCCCTCATCTTTCTAACTGTTATCACGACATTTTCATTGTACCCTTTGGCCTTCATCAAATCCATGTCAATCTGCAGTGAATTTTGAACTGAAACCTTTATATAATCTACATTGGCTGTTCTCATTTCACTGCCCATGTCTAGGGATATTTCACTTAGTTCTAATATTTCATCTAGTTCTAGTTGTTGCATGCCTCTGAGAATGTACCCACCCAGCCCAGGGATCGAAGATAAATTCATGAATCAATGCTTTAATCCACTAGGCTATTGTCCAGTGGGAGAATTCTCTGTGAAGAACTTGGAGCCTTAAACCTAACCTGCCTGCAGATGAGTGCTGCTGATTATCATGCTTGACTGCATTCATTGAACTTTTCTGTTTTTGTTACTGCTACTGTTTTTGTTACTGCTGCTATCTGTCTTTCTTTATTAGCAGTCCAATATCGTATTTATTCCTGTGCTAGGCCTACTAAGGAGGTCCTTATAACCTCGCATATGTGTTGGTTCTTCCAGACACCTAACTTTAGTGTTCTTCCTTCTCCAGTATTTTCATTTCATTCCACAAGGACTAATGACTACCTTTTCCACTCTATACATGATAAACTATCCTGATTTCATTGTCTCACACCCACATTATGGATTTTCGATGTTCCTCCAGCTTTATTTTTCATCCTAGAAATTCAGACAGAAATTTGCAATTGTTATATTTTTTCTATTGTTTAGAGTTCCAAAACAATGTATATTTTTATGAATAAGCTAATAATAAAGATAATTGGGGATGACGATGATGATAATGATCCTTATCATCATCATTAAAATGAATGCAAGATGAAAGACAAAATGTTGATACACTTCAAGGAGATACAAATTATTGGGTAGACATGGATGTTTGTGCCCACAAAAAAATGGAGTGTCAAAAGGAGAGTTTTTATTTTGCTTTTATTTGAACTACTTTCCATTCTTGGCAATATGTTTTGGTTTAAAAAACAATGATTAGAATTGTAATAAAACTTAAATATATGAAAGTAAATTTATACATTTTCTTTGTTCATGAGAACTGACAACAAAAGTAATAAACACTTTTTATTACATTGTTTATTTACACTATTTATTTATTAGGAATAGGTGGCCAAAAAACAGCTAATTGCCAAGTAATTCAAACTTTATAAAATGGTAAATAATAAGGATTTTCTTATATTTCATTCACATATTCCAATAATTTAGTAAATATTTATAAATTTATGAATAAAAAATGTTTTATAAATTGGTAAATGATGTTCCATTGCATTATTTTTAATTGTATTAGTTTTTAGAATGTTGCAAATGTAAAATTATTGTTGTAAATAATCTAATAAATGAATAATCTTTAATATTTATGTTGTAAATTCTCAAGAATAAAAAAATGTCTCAACATTCTTTTATCATATGTTTAGGTTTTATTACAATTTATTGGACCTAAAATTAATAATAATAATAAATATATATTTTTTACAAAAACAGTGAGTAAAAAGTATATATTTATTGTTAATATTAATTTTAGGTATTGTCATTTTACATCTAGCACCGCTTTATTACCACCAGTACTTACTGTGCACTATTATTTATATACATACATATATATATATATATATATATATATATATATGATTGTATATTTTAAAGAACATATATGTATACAGAAATAAAGTTTTGCTTATCTGCTGGTGGCAACATGTTTTATCAGAGAACTGTTCAGTACATTTGCCTCCTTTGGCTGTTGAAAAAGAAAGAGAGTGAAAGTATGGTTGGTTCTGGGCAATCCTTCACTATTATTATCAAATTATGTAGGCTAGTAGATTAGTTCTTGGAACCAAGTTGCTGTACCCTCACACACAGAAAACAATAGGAGAGTCCAGTATATATTATTTATTTTAGGATATTAGAACAAAAATATGTTAAAAATCGCTACATGATTACAACTACTACATGTACTATGTATAGAAATTTTTAAATTGTTTTTGTTTTAATATCTTAAAATAAGTAATATTTAGCTCTACTCTCTATTGAGCCCTCTTTTAAATTAAATATTATGTACAATGGAATTATACTCCATTTGTTCTCATTTTACCTGGATGTATATATATATATATATATTCTTTTAGACTTGATGAATTTACTTAATTATTATTATTTCAAATCCTCCTAATAATTTTCATCACTTGTATATCCTTGCTTGAATCAGCTTCTAATGCTCTGGATGGAGTGGCTTGGGAATAGAAGACGTGGCATGTGGGGGAGCAGTCTATTGGGTTAGGGAAACTCGGATGAGTTACACCATGGAATTTGTAAAGACCGGCATTATATCGAGTCTAATTAGTAACATCTTTGTCACTGAGGCCTCTGTTGGTATAGTTGGTATGACGTTTGCATTGTATCATAATAGTCTGGGTTCAATTCTCGTTAGTGGGTATGCACTGCTGATGAGTCCCAAATATAGGCCGAAACAGCTGTCTAGTGCTTTCTATCATTTATATATATATATATATATATATATATATATGACTGGATGTCTAGCCACACTGATGAGCTGTGATACAGCGAAACAGTCTGTCTGTGGATGACCATATATATATATATATATATATATATATATGAATGGTCACTCATATTCGAGGATACCTGTCTACTAGGCTAATCCTCATTGCAGATGCCTGCTCAGGCACATTTGTATTTGTTCAGCATGTACAGAACCCACCTGTGGTTTATACTGCAACTATGCTAAGTAGATCTTAGTTATGGTTTCTGGGAGAGAGTGTGTTATCATGATGAACAAGGCCAGTATATTCAAACCCTCAGTCACAATGACTTGTGACTTTATACTAGCACAACCATTGACAGCTCCCAAAGGTTTCCATTTACCCAATTTCGCTTACAAGACTGGGGTCAACCTGTGGTGTAATTTTCTGGCATTGAGATCCCCTCCTTCATATTGATAACATCAAGAAGTCCCCTTCCTGATAAAATGACTATGGTGAGATTCGAACCTGCGTCTCACAATCAGAAAGCAAACATTCTAACCACTTGGCCACGTGCATATATATAGATATATATTAGAGAAAAAGATAGATTCATTTCCACCCAAGACATTCACTCCTGTGAAAATCTAAAATTTATATTCATACAAACTAAATACATTCAATCAAAAGGCTTAAAATTAATAAATTAAAAATAAAAAAAATGATGTATAAGTCATTTGTTTCTGCATATGACATTAATCTTCTTTAGGATTTTGAACTTTTCTTTCTAAAAGAAATGTGCTTTTAAACAAAGAGATTTTACAATTACTTAAATATTGATAAATATTATAGTG